CAACCACTCGGAGGAAGATCTATGTAGGAGATCCTGGATAGAGAGGGAGAACAATGTGGAACAAAACTCAACATCATAAAAAAAAAAAAAAAAGAGACCAAGTTTGCTGGTCTGATAGAGCCTGGTGAAACTCCTAAAACTATGACCCTTAGCTACACTTCAGGTCTAGAACTGAACTCACTCCTGTGGCTGCCAGTCAAATAAAAGACAGGCATATAAGCTGATACACTCCTTGGACAGGTTAGCCATGGGAGAACAGAAGGGCTGTGTGTGCACAGGGAGACACCTCCAGGGGCAAGGAGTGCAGGGAGGGAAGGACACAGGGAAGAGGTGACTATGGGGAGGAAGTGGGAGGAGAGCTGTTGCATTGTGGGAATTTGAAGTCAATGCCATGAGACAAAATGTGTACGAACTGCTGTATGGAAAATGAATTTGCACCGGGCAAAAGATTTACTCAGATACTTCACCAAAAAAAGGTATGTTGTTGTTATCACATGCCATTGAGTCACCCGACCCATAGTGACCCCATGTATGACAAAATGAAACACGGCCCATGAGCCATCCTCACAACCGCTGCCACGCTCGAGCTCACTGTCACAGCCACTCTTTCAATCCGCCTTGTTGAGGGTCTTTCCCTTTTCCGTTGACCCTCCACTTTACCCAGCATGTTATCCTTCTCCAAGGACTGGTCCCCTTCTGACAAAGTAAGCAGAGCATGAGAGAGAAAGTCTGGCCATTCTTGCTTCTAAGGAGCATTCCAGCTGTACTTCTTCCAAGACAGATCTGTTTGTTCTTCCAGAAGTCCCTGGTACACTCGATATTCTTTGCCAGCACCGCAATTCAAATGCCTCAGTTCTTCTGCAGTCTTCCTTACTCATTGCCCAGCTCTCACATGCACATGAGGCTATTGAAAATTCCAGGGTTTGTGTCAGGCACACCTCAGTCTTCAAACACTTCAAAGAGGTCTTTTGCAGTAGATTTGTCCAATACCACACATTTGATTTCTTGACTGCTGCTTCCATAGGCCTTGATTGTGGATCCAAGTAGTATGAAATCCTTGACAACTTCAATCTTTTCTTGATTTATCGTGATGTTGCATATTGGTCCTGTTGTAAGGAATTTTGTTTTATGTTGACATGTAATTCACACTTAAGATGAATAAAAAGATGTCCAACATTATTAGTCACTAAGGAAAACCACAAGGAGGTATTGTTTCACATCCACCAGAATGGCTAAAATTAAACAAGACTGACAACATCAGTAAGGCGCTCTGGTGGCACTGTGGTTAAAGCACTGGGCTGCTGACCAGTCCAGACCCACCAGCTGCTCTGCAGGAGAATGTTGAGGCTGTCTGCTTCCATACAGATTTACAGCCTTGCAAACCCATGGGGCAGTTCTACTCTGTCCTATAGGGTCACTGCTATGAGTTGGAATTGACTTGATGGCAGTGGGTTTAGGTTGGTTTTGACAAGCAAGTGTTGGCATCGACATAGAGGAATGGGAACTTTCCTACACTGCAATTCCCCACAATGTAACAGCTCTCTTCTTACTTCTTTTCCCCATGGTTACCTCTTTCCTGGGTCCTTTCTTCCCATGCACTCCTGCCAGCACCCCCTCCCCAGCTGTCTCCCTGTTCTTACCCTGCCCTTCTGTTCTCCCACGATTGATCACTCCAAGTAGTGTGTCCATCTGATGTAAATATTCAGCCCATATGCCTGCCTCTTATTTGGCTGGAAGCCACAGGAGTGAGTCATCAGATTTGCTTTTAATAGCCAAAACCCAGGAACCACCCAAATACTCATCAGTAGGTGAACTGATAAGCCAATTAGTACAACCATACTATGGAACACCATGCAGCAACGCGAAGGAATGAATTACTGATACACACAACATGTATGAATTTCAACATAATGCTCAGAAGTAGTAGTGAGGGAAAAAAGGGTCCATGCTACGTACGTAGTCCCGTTTACTAACTTCCCACAGTGAAAGCAGATCACTGGCTACTTGGCAGCAAAGGGCTGGGGAGGGATAGGAGGGTGGGACACAAGGAGCAGGAGGAAGGACCTGCAGGCGATGATGGTCCTTGTCTTGATAGCAGTGATGGTGTCACAGGCGTACACATCAGAACTCATCAAACTGCATGCTTTACATACGTGCAGTTTACCGAGTGTTGCGACTTCAATAAAACTGAAACCAAAGCCGCTGCTGAGGTCAATTCTGCCCCATAGTGCCCCCCTGTGTCACAGGGTACGACCGCCCTGAGGGGTTTCTTAGCTGCCATCTTTACAGAGGCAGAGCCCCAAGCATTTGTTCCATGGTTCCCCTGGTGGGTTTGAACCGCCAACCTGTAGTCATGGAGCAGAAACCATTTGTGCCTCAGGGACCTTCACATAATTCAATAACAAAATTAAAAAAAACAAAAACTGCCTCCCCAATGTTCGTAATGTACAATTTCAAAAACTAGATTAACATTTTGTATTCAACACACCAGCTTAGAGACAAGTCCATTGTGGGTCCAGGCCACATTCTCCCCATAATACCGCAACGCTCACGAGCACAGACACCCTTTGTGTTTACTGAGATTCTTTTCATGATGAAGGATTTTTTCCCTCACCTTCAAATTTGGTCAAGTGTGTTTCTTGGAGTAAAAATAGAACATGAGTTTGTAAGAACAATCTCATTCCTCCTGACTCAGCCGGAGGCTTTGACGATTTCAAAGTTCCCCTTGGAAACCACTCATGTGTGCTTTACACCCTCCTGCAATGACAGGGCCTCACTCATCGCACCTAGAGCTCCTTGTAGTTCACACCCCGGCTGCCATCTCGCCACCCGTGACAACCACGGACTGTGGAGGGCGGTGATGTTGGCATGTGATCCGAGCTTCCTTTTTTAGCCCCAGGTTTCCCATGATCTGGTTTACATCACTCTCCTCTGTTGGGTGAAATCTGGGTTACAGGAGAGGGTGGAGGAGTTACAGGGTAACCTTGCTTTTTGGACCAGTGTCTCCCATTCCTCTTTTAATGGATATCTGCCTGGCACCATCTTATTGAGATGGCTTGATGGGCGTCTTCCCCACAACTGGGAGGCAGTTAATCTGTGAGTTCAATTAGTGGAACCACTGTGTCCCAATTAGCTTGTCATCTGACGAGATCACACAAGAGATAATCAGTAATGAGCAAGAGTCTGGAAGCTGCCATCCATCTAACAAGGCCGTCTAATCCCAGAAAGGTAACTGGAGGCCAGCACAAATACCAAGGGCCTCCCTGTCTGCGGGGATGGGGCAGGGGGCGTGAGGCATTTCACAGAAGGGTCCCAGTTAGTGTGGACAAGGAAAAGGACATCCAAAGAAGGATCTAGGCCACCATGGTCCACAGGAGAAAGGAGCTGGTTGGGCAGAGCCCTTGGCTTCCTGGGTCTGCCCTGACCCCACCTGGGTGGCCCAGCCCCAGCAGGTACCCAGCACAGTGTCTGGGAAGGAATGAGGAAGAAGAGGGACAGAGTGGATGAGACTTAGAGGGACACATGGGGAAGGACTCCGGCGCCTGAAGGAGCCACACGGTGAGGGCTGAGTATCTGGGAAGCGGCCATCAGTGCTGGACACCCTGACCTCCAGGCCTTTCAGTGATGACACAGGACACAGTGACTACCAAGGGCCCCACAGCCACGTTACCACGGCAACGAGAGAAGCGCCCCTGAATCAAGTTTCTTTCCAGCAATTTAAAGGATTCCTTTGCTTTGTGGTGTCTACTGCAGCCATGCTTATCACAGGATGTGTAACAATGACCTTCATGGCTCATGAGAGGGTCAGGGTCCATGAGCGGGGGTGTGTGTGTATGTGTGTGCGTGTCTGTTTATTCTCTCAACCATAGGGCACTGAGTGGCCTAACAATGACCTTCACGGCTCATGAGAGGGTCAGGGTCCATGACTGTGTGTGTGTGTGTGTGTGTGTTTATTCTTTCAACCATAGGGCATTGAGTGGCATAACAATGACCTTCACGGCTCATCAGAGGGTCAGGGTCCATGAGTGTGTGTGTGTGTGTATGTTTATTCTCTCAACCATAGGGCACTGAGTGGCATCCCTTCCAAGTTAGGCAAAGTGCCAGGTGCTGGGACACAGCTCAGCAAAACAAAGCCAATCAACATGACGACAACGTCAGAGATAGTATCACAAAAAACAGGACTGGAGGCGGGCAGGGGCCAGGCGGCTGCCCTGAGGGAGACTCGCTGTGGTCTGGGAAAGGCGTCCTCCTGCCACCGTTCCAAGTGGGAGAGGGGTCGCCAGGCAGACTGCTGGTAAGATGTCTGTCTGTGCCCTTGGACCCTTAGCAGGGTGACGACGGAGAAAGGGCCGGCCTGCCACACCACAAATGGTAGCCTTGTCATGGTTTGTAGCTGTCTGGCTTTGAAAAAAAATTTTCAATAAAAAAATACATATAACATTTATCAATTCACCGTATTTTCACGTGTCATTCAGTGACATTATGCTCATCACTTTGTGCAAAGCTGAGCCCCCTTGGTAAGACCCCCCCTTCCCCCTCCCTCTCATTCCCAGTAGCCACTACTAAACTCTGGTTACAATGGCTGACTTCGTATTGGTGGGCTCACAGAATTTGCCTTTTTGTGGCTCGCTTCATTTACTCAGCATGTTTCCAAGGTTGTCCACGCTGTGGCATGAACCACGTCATTTCTCCATATGGTAATATTCATGGTAGGCATGTAGCACATTGCATTTGTCAGCTTGCCCACCGACGGACACTGATTATTTCCACCACTGGCCACTGTGAACGGTGCTGCAAGAACGCCAGCACCGGCTGGCGTCTGTACATGGTTCAAAGGGAGAGAAGTGAAATACCCTCGTCCCCATCAAAGGGACTCAGGACTGAGAATTCGTAGTGAACTTCTTCCACAGCTGAAGTTTCAGATGCCACTCTGACAGGGATCAAGGATGAAATGAGCCTTCCATTCAGAGAACCTGGCATTTTCTGTATTTTCACAATCGTCATGGTGGTTTTGAAGGGAGTTTTAGAGGTTGCAAATACGAGAAGGGGCAAGGAAGCAAAGCCAAGAAGTGGCAGGCTCCCTCCTCCTCCAGCCAACACAGGGTGTGAGCCACTATGGGCACACGTGGACAGGGCAGAGTGGCCAGAGCTGGGCAGGGCGACAGGTGGAGCAGCCTTGGCTGTAGGGAGGGCGTGGACAGGACATTGCTGCTACCGGGCCTCACCCCCTTTCTCCAATGGTGACCTGCCCCCAGCTCTGGTCAGACGCCCTGTGGGCAGGTCAGCAGGCCACAGCCCAGCTGGGAAGGGGAGAAGGGCTGTGAAGAGGAAGACTGAGACAACACAGTCCCAGAGGACGGGGCTGGTCCCTGCTCCAGCTGATGTATCTGGTGGACTCCATACTTCTGGACTGTGGGCTCTCGGTTCTGCTCGGCACTGGCTGGGGCACTGGGAGGTGGTACCTGAGGAGTTCAGAGCAGGTGAGAAGACCTTCTCTCGGCTGTTTTGCCACTCAGCACCTGATGGAAATGCCACAGAGACCAAGGATACAAGGCAGCCCAGGGGCCCACAAGCCCGAGCCAGACACGGCCACCCCCTTGTGGGCTTGTCCAGACAAGCCACACCAGGTGGGGAAAGGGAGGGCAGAGACCTCCCACAGGGTTGCCCCAGGGGCTCCTAAAGGGACAGGTGAGCTCAGTCTCCCCGACGGGGCTCCGAATGTGTGGTGTGGCTCCAACAGGCTGGGCCCCCCAGCACCACCACTGGCCCAAAAGACCCTCTGGCTGTATCCCACATACTGCTTGATCCTGAGTGGTGGGAACGCGAGGTCACCAAGAACATGATCAGACACACGCCTAGCAACGGAAGGAATTGTGTCCGTGCCCAACGCCAGCTGTGCAGCCGTTCAGAGCAGCCATCACAGGGAGTCATGGGAAGGCTGAAGACAGGGGACCACTGAGGGCGGGGCTAGCACGTCACCTAGAGCTTTGCAGGGGAGGATGGGAACGCTGTGACCATTCCGGTGTTGTTGGACGAGGTCAGCCACGCACCACCATCAGCCACCAGCACGGCTCCCGTCACGTAAGACGCCGCAGGGCTGGCGAGGTAGAGTGCGCCATGGGCGATCTCCGTCTTGTTTCCTATCCTCTGCAGTGGTATCCCGGTGGACCGCAGGACGGTGCTGCCCTGGGGGCTGACTGGAGAGCAGGAGGCTGGGTCATGGGTAAGGACGTGCCTGTTGCAAGCCTCTGCGGGCCCCAGGTGCCCAGGGCCCCTCCCCTGGCCAGCTCTGTCTAGGGGAAGGGCTGTTAGCATCACCAAGGCCTGGCAGAGCAAACCAAGTCAAGAGCAATGGCAAGGCTTTTCGGCCCACACCCTGCTGAAGTCCGTGAGCCATAGCACTCCCCACCTCCTGGAGCACCTGTCCCAAGTCCAGCTGAGGACTGTCCCTTAGGCCAACACTTGTCACTGGACTATGGAAGAGGAGTCCCACAGAGGGCTTGGCCTTCCTGAGCCCTTACCCAGCCGTCGGAAGCCCTCGGTGCCGCTGATAGGGCCGGGGGCCAGGCTGTTGACACGGATGTTCTGGTGGCCCCACTCCACAGCCAGGTGCCTTGTCATGGTGTCTGCAAAGGAAGAGAGCTGGCATGAGGGGCACCTGTAAAGCGACCCTGCCATCCAGGGAGGCTGGGGTGTACACAGGGGCCCAGTTCCACCTGAAACCACAGTCCCAGGATGGTGAGAGGGGCCCTACCCACAGCGGCCTTGGCAGCTCCTGCGTGCACCTGAAGCACCTGCCCCCGGAGGCCCAGAGTCGCGGTGATGTTGATGATCACCCCTCCATGGTCCTGCGACATGGGGCAGGGGAGGGTGAGTGGGAGGCCTGGGGAGGGAGGTGGTAGGGGCAGCCCAGGGGAGGGGGCACTGGGTGGGCGGCCAGAGGAGGACGCCACAGCCTCAGGACACCTACCCGGAAGAACTTCTCGTAGAGCACGCGGGACACGTTGAAGGTGCCAGCAGTGTCAATGTCCAGCACAGTCTTAAAGGCATTGAAGGATAGGGCACTGGCAGGGCATAGGAAGTTCCCAGCAGCACCTGCAGGGCGGGAGGGGACAGTGAGTGATGCTGGGGGTGGAGGATGCCTGGGGTCAGTGAGGGGGCAGACCCTCATGGACCCTGAGAGGGTTTGGACAAACTCCTGAATGGCAGAAGCAAGACAGGACGTTTTCAAAGGGTAATTTCATGTGAGAGTGAAATTCACATCCTGTGGACCAGAGTTAGCGATCACGTACGTATACACCCTGCTCCATCAAGTCCCTGGGCTGTGCTGTGACTGGAATGACCCTAGAGGACATCACACTGAGTAAAGTAAGTCACACACAAAATGACAAATATCCCAGGATCCCACAACCCAAATCTGCTACTATCAAGAGGATTCTGACTTACAGCAACCCTACAGGACAGGGAAGAACTGCCCCATAGGGTTTACAAGGCTGTATTCTTCACAGAAGCAGACTGCCACATCTCTATCCCACAGAGCGGCTGGTGGGCTCGAACCACTGACCTTTTGGTTAGCAGCCAAGCTCTTAACCACTGAACCACCACGGCCCCTCTGTACAATCCCACTTATATGAAATATGTAGACTAGGCCTATTCACAGAGACCAAAGCAGATTAGTGGTGACTGCCTAGAGATTAGGGAGGAGGGAATGGGGGCTCATTGCTTAAGGGCACGAACATTTGAAAATGGAGAGTGATGATGGCTGCAAAACACAGTGACTATAATTAACGTCAGTGACTTGCACCTGCAAAAATGGCTCAAATGACAAACTCTTTGTTATAGCTACTTTATCACAACACAGTTAAAACATACATATTGACTCATTACCTGCAACACACTTGAATGTAAAATGCTAGTAACAGTGAAACTGGGTGAGAGAGAAGGGGCATACAGGGGTCTCTGTAAATTCTGCACGTCTTTGCATAAATCTAAAAACCGCACTAAAATAATACCAAAAAACCTATTACCGTCAAGTTGATTGCAACTCTAATGATCCTACGGGACAGAACAGAACCGCCCCATAATTTCCAAGGCTGTAAGACCAACTGCCAACCTTCCATCCATCGAGCAGCTGATGGGTTAAAACTGACAACCATTCTGTTCGCAGCCAAGTGCTTAACCACTGAGCAATCAGGACTCCTACTAAAATAACAAAGCCTATTATAGTCGAAGAGCTCTGGTTGTATAGTGCCTAAGGCATTTGACTGCTAACCAGAAGGCTGGTGGTTCAAACCCACCAACCACTCCTTCTACTACTACTGTGTATCTACTTCTGTAGTGACCGCCTCGGAAACCCAAGGAGGGGTCGCTGAGTCGGGATTGACTTGATGGCAGTATTATTTTAGTCACTCCAGCACCCCAGCAACGTTCACCTCCAGCAAGGAGCCGGGTCTAGGCCTGGGCATGTTCCACCACGGGGACCCTGTCCTGGAGCCTAACAGAAGCCCTAGCTCACGAACTCACCATTAACAAGGATGTCAATTCTGCCAAACTCCCTTAGGGCCTCATCCACTGCGGCTGTGATGGCTGGGGGATCTCGAACATCCAGAGACAAAGGCAGGCACCGTTGGCCCGTGGCCGCAACCAGCTTCTTGGCGGCCTAGAAACCAGACAGGAAGGGAGACGTGGGCGGCACACAGGGCCTATGGACCCTGCTCCCGTTCCTGGCCATGAGCTCTTGTCCTGCTGGGTTATCAGCTTTGCCGGGACCCCACTGTGGGGAGGTGTAGCCTGCAGGTGGCCACCCCAGGCCCACAGTCCCAGCTGACCTTTCTACATCACCCCGCGCTGTCTGTCTCCCCACGTGCCTGTTACCCGTAGCAGCAGATGCAGCCACCTCGCCACCCCGGCCCAGACACAGAACTGTGCTGGCGAGTCCTTCCTGATCAAGGACCCACTTGCTGTGGCCTGCCTCCCCAACCTCCCTGAACCCCAAGATCTCCAGGGGCCACTCCATCACCAACAGAGTCCCCAGGGACCAAGGGTACTGGGAGGCCACGTATATTGAAGACACCCTTGGCCCAGGCTCTGGCCGCCCACCTCCACAGGGCAGGGAGAAGCCCTCACCATCGACACTCTCGGCAGGCTCCTGCTGGCGATGACTGTGTGGCACCCATGCCTGTAAAACCACAGGGCAGGCATGAGGGTGGCCAGGCACACAGGATATGCCCAGGAGGGTCTGCCCATTGCTGTAAGCAGAGCTCCATCCCCAAAGGGTTTCTCAGGCTGCTGCACAGCCCGGGGCAGGAGGCACAGGGCTGAGCAGCTGTGGTGGGCACTATCACCTGGGAATTCCCAGCCCACCCCCAGCATGGAAGCAGCACGGGCCTGCTAGTCTCCCCTGCTCAGCCCTGCCGGTTCTGGCTCCTACCTTGTGACTGTCACCACCCCACCTCTGAAGGTCTCAGCCTCGCAGTAACAATCACAGTGCCGCCACCTGTTTGGAGGTTCCCTGAAAGCTAAGAGATCCTAACTCTTGAAACAACCTGTGGGTCCTAGCTATAGTGTGTGGGAAAGCCACCCAGCTCGTGAGGCAAGTCCTTCGGGTGGGATGAGCCCTAAGGCTTCTCTCCCAAGGGACTCACTCTCTGGTATGAAAAGTGAGAGTTTGAGGAACACTGGGGAGGGGTCCTCCAGACTGGTTCTCCCCAATTCTGGCCAAGCCCTGGGCATCATCACCCCAATTCCTGGGTGAGTGTGGCAAGGTGCCATTCTGGGCCTGAGGCCATAGAACTTGTGTCCAAAGACACTTTGTCCTTTACACACTGGGGTTCACTGGCCCCAGCCCTAGGAGGCCCATAGTGGAGTCACTCGGATCTTCTGGACCAACGGCTGTCCACACATAATTGTGCAAAAATCCTTTTCTGTATCAGCGTCTGCCAAGGTCTCTCCAGATGTCACCGAGAGGTACACGCATGACCAGGAGCCTTCCAAAAGGGGAGGGGGTTCACAGGGAGCAGCTATCTCCTCCTCTGGGCAGCTCCCCTCTCCTCTTTGTGCAAATGGGGGTGCCAAGGCCAGAGCCACACAGCCGGGACTAACATGCAGAGTCCTGACACCACCCCCCACTGGCCTGCTCAGCACTTGACCCCTCCAGACCCTCTTAAAGGCACTGTGACCCTTTCCAGGTGGGGGCACCAACAAGGCACTCCATCCACACACCAGTGTCTGTCTAGGAAGCCCAGGCTGGAGCAGGGGCCACAGGAGGGGCCGGGATTGGGTAGGAGGTGGGAAGGCTGCAGGCAATGCTCACCGCATGAAGACCTCAGCAATTCGGAAGCCAATCCCGGAGCCCCCTCCAGTAATAAAGGCCACCTGGTCCCTGAGAAGACCAAAATAAGTGGTCTACACAGAGATTCCCGCTACATTGGGGGAAGGGGGACAGGCAGGTGACCTCAGTCTTTGAGCCTCTGCACTGAGCACTCCGTCAGATTTGAACTGCTCACAAGGAAAGGGCGTTTTTTAGAAGAAAACTCTGCTTTCTAAACCCAGCTCTCCTAGGCGCCTGGGCTCTGTGCAACCCTTCCCCAAGGGTCCTCAAGCCTGCAGGTCAAAGCCGGCTCCACCGCTAGGGGCACAGACAGCTCTCAACCGTGCAAAGGTCACCAGGCCCCTGGACTGTGCGCTCGCCCGGCGCGGGCTTCCACCCCAATTAAACCACATCCCACACCACCTCGCCGGGGACTGCACCCAGAACGCCCAGGCCCCTGCCCCCGAGCGGCGCCCACCGCAGCAGGTCCGGGCAGAAGAGGTGGCGGTACTCGGGGAGACAGTCGTCCCCGTCGACGTCGGGCGGTGGCTGGGCCATGGGCTCGGTGCAGGCTGGGGCAGCAAAAACAGCGGGGATACTGCCTGGGGGAATCTGTGCACCAGCGTCGACCTTTCGGACGACACCAGCTCCGTGAGATCCGCTCTCGGCCCCGGACGCTCTGCCTTGCTTGTAGTCGCTGCTCTTCCCGATACGCCCCTTTCCCTCCCCGCGCGCCCCGCCCCTGCCGTAGGCCCCGCCCCTCTCCTCTCTCCTGGCAGAACCCACCCCGCCCCTTTGGCCTGCTCTGCCTCGCCCCGCCCGTCGCCGCACGCCCCTTCGTCGCGGCCGCGCTGTCTTCTGGGACTGGAAGCGGGTTACGGGCGCAGGCGCAAAGCGTCGTGGCTGCCCGTAGCTTCTGCGTCAGTTCACGCGGGGCGGGCCCGGGGTCGCACCTGATTCTGCGCCCTTTAGCTGACGGATTCGCCGCCAGGGCGCAGCAGACACTCGGCTTCCAGTTAAGGGCGGGCCCATCTGTGCCTTCAAACACCTGCTAGGGGCGCTTGGCAGTGAAAACACCCACAGTTGAAAGGGGCAGAAAAGACCTCCCCACGCCCCGCCCTGTTGAACCAATACGGCGGGCTGGGTGGGGGTCTGAGCTAGAGCCTGCGAAAGCAGAGGGAAACCGCGTTCGCTGCTGGACCCCAAAGGCGCCCGGCCAGTGCCAGTTTCCGCACGGCCTTTCCTCCGTCCCCTCCCGTAGGGGCTCTGACAGTGGGATGCTGGGAACCCACCAAAAGCTAGACAGGAACAGCTGTGTCCATTACCTGGGACAGGTGACCAGGGAGCCCCAGGCACCAAGGGCGAGGTGTGACGGGGGCTGCAGCCAGCTTCAGGGGAGGGACCAGACAGAGGATCCGGCCCTGGGAGTGGACTGGCTGTACCCTCCAACCCCACATGGCTTGTGGGGCCAGAGCAGCTGCTCTCTCCTTCCCCCAAGTCAGGCGGAGGTCTCTGGACCCTCAAGGAATCTATCTATGGATCCCCTACTGGGAGTGTGAAACTGTAGGCTTCCTTTTTGCCCTCAAGAGGTTTACAGCTTTGAAAGCAAAGCAACCATTCACTCACACACACACACACAACACAGCACAGTGAAGTTTAATGTCTCCCTTGGGGGAGGGCAGGTCACACTACCCTCTTTTGCAAACACCCCAAAAGTTGTCTGGCACTTTGGTACAGAAAGGATATGGTCCAATCTGGTGCTGGCTTAGGACACAGAAAGGCACAGAAAGTTGACAGCTCAAACCTCAGCAGGGCTGGGGCAGAAGGTCACCGGGGAGTGGTTTGGAAAGACTGACAAAGCATGGATGTGGGCTGAGTCTTGTTGACAAGAGGTAGTTGATCCTGCTCATATGGGGGCAGACAAGAGCAGCCAAAGCCCTCAGGCTGGGGAGACACTGCTGTGGGGGCCCAGGTCCGGCCAGTCCACCAGCTCACAGCTCTGGAACCACAACCGGATCTCCCTCTGGGCCCCCTCCACGGAGTCGCTGGCATGGATGACGTTCCTGCACCGGGGACAGACAGCAAAGGTAAGGCTTCAGGGTGCTCCCTGGAGTTCCTGTGGTGGTGCAGGGGAGCAAACTGAGTGACTGCAGGGAGGAAGGGGCTAACGGAAATCAACACCTATCTCAGGAGCAAAGAGTTGGAAAACTGGGTTCCAGCTTCTTACCCAACATCTCGTTGGATCCAACCAAACACCCAGCTTCTCAGAAACTTATTTCCCCACCCACTGACCCGTGCCCGCTCCTCAGAGGGGCTGGGGAAATAGACTCGGGCAACAGTGGAGACAGCACAGGCCCAACAGAGGTGCCCCGTTTCATCTGTGCCTGTGAACGGCTTTGAAAGAATTGCCTGGCAGACTTGAGGAAGGCCTTACCACCTCTTGTAAAGTGGGGAGGTAGCAAAATGAGGGGAAGCCTCACTGACATGGATTGCCAGGATCCAGTAGCCACAATCGTGGACCGTGTCCAGGCGGAGAGCATCAGGCCCATACCTGCTAATGTGGACGCTGAAGTCTCCCCGGATGGTTCCTGGGGCAGCTTCCGCAGCGTCTGTGTCTCCGATCATGGTCCTCGAGGTGCGGACCACATTGTGGCCTTCCCAGACCTGCAGCACCGAGATAAGGGGTCAGGGAGGCACAGGGACAGCACAGGCTAGGCCCAGGCTTGGGGAAGGACACAAAACACACCCAGCCTCCATGGCTCACCATGGCCACCACCGGGCCGGAGCTCATGTAGCTGATGAGGGCTGGGTAGAAGGGCTTCCCCCGCAGGTCACAGTAGTGTTGGGCAAGGACGCTCTCTGGTGCCTGGGTGGCACAAGTTGGGGGCAGTAAGTGAGGGGGTGGGAGATGCCTCTGGAGGCCCCCCAGCTCCCCGGGAGGCCCTCTCATACCTGCAGCATCTTCATCCCCACCAGCTTGAAGCCACGCTTCTCGAAGCGGCTGATCACATCTCCCACCAGCCTCCGCTGCACCCCATCAGGTTTCACTGCCACCAGGGTCCGCTCCTGGGTCCGAGATGGGCCTCCTTTAGAAAGGGGGGGTCAAGGCTGTGTGGCCTCAGCCTCCATGCCTCCACAGCCTGGGCGCCCCAGCCAGACCCAATGCGTTTGCTGGTACCCCTACATAGCTGGGAGCCAGAAGCACTCACAGCAGGGGGCACCCAGGGCAGCGGTCTTTTTTTTTTGTCATTTGGGTGAAGGTTTACAGAGCAAATTCACTTTCCATACAGCGGTTCACATATACTTTGTCTCATGACATTGACCACAGTTTACCACAATTCAACAGCTCCCCTGCCACTTCCTCCCCATAGTTACCTCTTCCCCTGTGTCCATCCCTCCATGCACTCCTGCCCCCTGAGCTGTCTCCCTGTGCATAAGCAGCCCTTCTTTCTCCCATGATTGTTCTCTCCAAGGAGTGTGTCTACTTGAGGTAAATGTTCAACTCATATGCCTGTCTTTTGTTTGGCTGGAAACCCCAGGTGTGGGTTCAATTCCAGACCTTAAGGGCAGCTAGAGGCCATAGTCTCAGTGGTTCCACCAGCCAGGGCAGCAGTCTTGAGGCATCCCCAGGAAAGCATCCTGAAGAGCCAGGAGACCAAAAGAGAAAAGCAGGACCCCTGGTCTCTCTCTGACTCCTGTCCTCCTAGGTGGACCAAGACACCTGCCATGCTAGCAGGAGCCGGTGGCCACAGTCTGTGCTCCTGAGTGAAGGAAAGGGGCTGCTGTGGCTTCCAGGCGATGGGGAGGGCCTGCACAGCCTTGACCCTCCATCAAACAGACAGGCTCGAGTCAGGGCCGGGATGGGCCCCCACAAACCTCCCGGGGCAGACCCTTGAGCCAGTGGCCAGGCCAGGCTTAGCTCTAGCGACCTAAGACCGGGCAGTGGGCCTACTGAGGAAGACTTCTGGGAGCCCCTGGCCCCCAGGGACCCCGTCATCGCCCACTGTGGCCACCTGGCCTTGGGGCTCCTTCTGCTCCAGGGGCTCAGTACCCGGGCAGGCGGCAGAGGGTGGGCACGGGGGGGGGGGCGCCCCGGGAGCTCAGAGCCTGCCCCTTCCAGACAGAGCTGGCCCCCAGCGCCCGGGCGCACGTGCGCGAACAAAGGCCGCGCTGCACGCCGCCCAGCTCCCGCCCAGGGCGCCCACTCACCCGAGCTGTGCCGTAAGGGGCTCGGGCCCGGGGCCCGCGGGCCGCCCAGCAGCCCCCGCAGTGCGGCGCGGCCCAGAAAGGCGCGCATGGCCCGGGCCCGCGGGCCGCTCCCAGCGCGGCGGATCCGGAGGAGCCGAGAGCTAGACGTGGGGGGCGGTTGTGAGCTCGCGCCCCGCCCCTCGACGCTGGCCCGCCCCTAACCCCGACTCCCCGGATTCCGGACCCCTTGACCCTAACCTGCCCAGCCCCCGGCAGAAGCCGGTGCAGTATGCTGGGCCCTGGGCGCACGAGGTGCCGGTGCAGATGTTTGGTGGTGTTCCGGTCAAAGCCAGAAGAATAAAGGGACACACTAAGAAGGAATCCAGCCCGAGATAGATGTACCTTGATACCCTGGCAGTCGGAAAAATGTCGTTTGAGGCATTTTTCATAGAAGGGCCCTCCCGTGCCAATGCTGGGTCTCTTTACAAGTTTTTTAATCATCTGTATTTTACCACAACACATAAAATTCACAGTTTTAACCATTCTTTTTAATTTTTTGAACGTTTTATTGTGGTTTAGGTGAATGCTTATAGAGCAGTTTAGTTCCCCAGGCAACAATATGTACAAAGATCATTAGGTTGCAAGCCCCCCCAACTGTCAGCACTCTCCCCACTAATACCCTGGGCTCCCTCTTTAAATTCGCCAGCTTTCCTGCCTTCTGGACTTTACTTCTGGACAAATGCTGCCCTTTGGGTCTCTGGAGGTGAATGTTCTGAGGAGCCCATTCCTCACAGGTGTTACTGTTCACTTTATGGACCTGCCTGTTGTTAGGCTGGAAGGTGGCTTCCAGGAGTGGGTTCAGTTCTAAGTCTGAAGAGTGTCTAAGGACCGTCGTTTCCAGGGTTCCACCAGACCAGTAAGTCTGTCTTTGTTGTGGATTTGAAAATTGTTCTACATTTTTCTGTCACTCTGTCTAGGACAGTCTGTGATCCTGGTCAGAGCTGTGGGTACTGATAGCTGGGTACCATCTAGTTCTGGTCTCGGGCTGGAGGAGGCTGTGATTCCGTGAGTGATCCCTTTGTCTCTTGGACTACTTGCTTCCTGGAGCCTTGGGCTTCTTCACTCCTCTTAGTTCTGGACAGGACAGCCATTCTTCAGTGTACGACCTGCCGGCTAAGCACGTTCACCAGGTTGTACACCCATCACCACCATCTGTCCCCAGATTCTGGTTATCACCCTGCCCAGTGAGCAATGGCTCCACCCTCCTGCCCCACCCAGCACCTGGTAACCTCTAATGCACCTGTCTCCATGTTGCTGTTGTTAGGTGCCCATGAGTTGGCTGTGACTCACAGAGACCAGGAGGAAGCACTGCCTGGTCCTGTGCCGGCCTCACAGCCGTTGCTGGTTGAGCCCATTGTTGCAGCCGCTGTCAGCCCGTCTCACTGAGGGTCTTCCTCTTTCTCTGACCCACATTGTTCTTCTTCAGGGACTGGTCCCTCCCAATCATATGCCCAGAGTTTGTGAGGCAAAGTCTCACCATGCTCACTTCCAAGGAGCATTCTGGCTGTATTTCTTCCAAGACAGGTTTGTTCGTTCTCCTGGCAGTCCATGGTATATCCGCTGTTCTTTACTGACACCACAATTCAAAGGTATTGATGCTTCAGTCTTCCTTACTCATTGTCCTGCTTCCACATACATATGAGGTGATGGAAAATACCATGGCTTGGGTCAGGTGCATCTTGACCTCGAAGGAAGTGACATCTTTGCTTTTAGAGACTTCAAAGGGGTCTTTTGCAGCAGATTAGGTCAATGCATTGCATCATCTGATTCTTGACTGCAGCTTCCATTGGGTATTGACTGTGGATCCAAGTAAAATGAAATCCTTGACACCTTCAGTCTTTTCTTTCTTTGTCATGATGTTGCTAACCAGCTCTGTTGTGGGGATTTTTGTTTTCTTTTGTTGAGGTGTAATCCACACTGAGGCTGCAGTCTTTGCTAGTCTAGAGAGTTCATATAAATAAGTCATACAATGTATGGCCCATTTCACTGAATAGGTTTGCAGGTTCACTCATGTCCTGGCGAGTATCAGAACTTCACTCCTTTTCATGGTGGAAAATTCTCCAGCATATGGGCACGCCACATCCTGTTCTTCCATCCATTCATCTGTCAGCGGACACTGGGTGGTTTCCTCCTCTTGACTGTTGTTAACAAATGTTAAATGACTGAAACCATATACTGTATGTTCTTTGTCCACTGTGGAATTAAATTAGAACTCAAAACGGCAGGATAACTAAAAAACACCCAAACATATTTGGAAATTCAATGCCATAGTTTATAATTCCTGGGTCAAAGAAGAAATTACAAGAGTTAGAAATATTTTTAGTTGAATGATAACGAAAACACAACATCAGAATTTGACATTCCAGAGTTTTCCATGATGTTGTGTGAATTGATAGCTCATTCTTTTTTTTCTTCCCCCTCGGCTTTTTTTTCTTGTCTGAATGTACCATTGTTTGTCCCTTCACCTCTTGAAGGACATTTTGTTTGTTTCTAGTTTTTAATGACCACAAATAAAATTGATCATTTAATCCATGTACCATGTTTTATGTTGTTGTTATTTGCCGTCGAGTTGGACCCGACTCATAGCAACCCCTCCTTGGGTTTCTGAGGCGGTATCACTATGGAAGTAGATTGTCCAACCTTCCTTCTGAGGAGTGGCTGGTGGGTTTGAACTGTCAGCCTTCTGGTTAGCAGTCAAGTGCCTTAGGCACTATGCTACCAGAGCTCCTATGTTTTATGTAGACATAGGTTTTTAAAACAGTGGGATAAGTATCCAGGACCATGATTGCTGGGCTGTATGCTAAGACTGTTCAGCCTTATAAAAAATTGCTGAATGCATGTTGCTGTGTGAGAAACCAGTTGAAAAAGGCTACAGACTATGGGATTCTATTTCTATAACATTTTGGAAAAGGCAAAACCCTAGAGACCGTAAACAGATCAGTGGTTGCCAGGAGCTTGAGGAGGGAAGAGGGTTACGTGGGTGAAGCCCAGGGGATTTGAGAGCATGAAACTCCTCTGTGATGTTAGTATCAGATACATAACATTAGGGATTGTCAACACATATCCATCCCAAAAATTAACATTAATGTATACAAATTAAAAAGGTATTAGGCTACAGGAAGGCATTCACTCGTTACAATCATCAACCATCTCTAGATCAAAAATCAATAGGGCAGCTTTTGCCCAGAGAGAAATCTCAGAAGGCAGGAAGAGCTAGGAGAGGGGACAAAGGGAAACAGGAAAGAGGGAGGAAGTGGGAAGAGCGTGGTTACATTGTGGGGACTGCAATGAATGTCACAAAACAATATGTATATAAACTGTTCAATGGAAAACCAGTTTGTTCTATAAACTTTCACCCAAATCACAATTTTGTAAAACAATCTGTTAGAAGATTAAGGAGCTCTGGTAGCACAGTGCCTAAGGTATCTGACTGTTAACCAGAAGGTTGGTGGTTCAAATCCACCAGCCACTCCTCAGAAGCAAGACTGGACAATCTCTTCTGTAAAGATATGCCACCGTGGAAACCCAATGGGTGTCACTATGAGTCGGAATCGAATTGGTGGCAGTGGGTTTGGTTTGGTTAGAAGATCAGGTGACCCCAGGATGGAACAGAGACTGAGAAAATACTCTAATTGTATTAGAAACGTATGACATACCCTCACTGGAGGTGTTGGGGAAAAAGGGTACTCCCTTAGCAGTGGTTAAAGCATTTGGCTGCTAACCAGAAGTTTGGGGTTTGAACCCACCAACTGCTCCATAGGAGAAAGATGAGGCAGTCAGCTTCGGCAAAGATTTACAGCCTTGGAAACCCCATAGGCCAGTTCTGCCCTGTCCTGTGAGGTCGCTGTGAGTCGCAATCATCGGCAGGCCAGCTGTGGGTTTCGTTTTGGTTTTTGGGGTAGCATTGGGCATCGGTGGAGACTAACATTAAAGAGGAACTGCACAGAAGCACCAACTCAGGTTGGTAAAGTTGTGTCCCACAGGGATACGGAGTAACAATTCTGAAACCACTGTGCACTGTGCTGGATGTGCCAGGCAGCCTCCTCACTACTGGAGCGGGAAGTTAACGGACAAGCAAGGGGGGAGTCTCCTGCCCTGGTAGCTGTCCCTGCCGGTCAGGTCACCCACGTAGAATAGGGCCAGGACACTTTCTCTGCCCTTAAGACCAGGCCCTGCCCTGGTCACCATGTTCCGGTGCAGCTGGACCTCACCCCACACTCACCGCAGGCCAGGAGACCTGGGGTCACTGCCTGTGGCCAGAGAGGGAGAAGCTTACACATCCAGACAGAGCGGGGAAAAATAGCAACCATATAGTGAACTTTCCCAACACTCACCTTATCCAAGCGTCGTTCTAAGAGTACATATTTCTTACTTTTTTGCTTGAAAAATGATCTTTTCTTTATGAAATAATGATTATGGTAAAAAAAAAAAAAAAAGCAAGCCCACTGCTGTGGAGTTGATTGCACTCACAGCAGCCCTAGAGGACAGAGTGGAAATGCCTCAAGGCTATAAAACTTTACCAAAGCAGACTGCCTCATCTTTTCCCACGGAGGAGCTAGTGGGTTCAAACTGCCAACCTTTGGTTAGTGGCCACCAGAATTCCTCAATCGATGGTAGTTGAGCTTCAGGGATTTTTTTTTTTTTCAAAAAAAAATTTCAAAATATAGATTCAGAAAACTTATGTTGGTCTCAAAACCTTTAGAGAAACTGTTCCTGTTTGTGGGAGCTCTGGTGGTGTAGTGCCTAAGGCATCTGACTGCCAGCCAGAAGGCCGGCGTTTCAAACCCTCCAGCCACGCCTCAGAAGAAAGATTGGGCAATCTACCTCCATAGAGACACCACCTCGGAAACCCAAGGAAGGGTCGCTACACGTCGGATCCAACTTGACGGCAGTGACTTTGGTTTGTTTCGTTTATTCCTGTTTGTGAAACCCAGATGTTTGGGTACTCCTGGTCTCACTTGACAAATTAGGGCCTGCCTGAGGCCAGAGAGAGACTGACACCCCTTCCCATCACGGAGGGTCAGACCCAGCCCTGCTCTCAAAAACCTGCAGTGGTCTTGGGGAGCGGGACACCCCATGTCCTTAGAGCAGAGACAGAGGGAAGAGTCCTTCCACCCTAGGGGGTAGGAGAGGGCCCATGGGAAGAGGGGCCTCAGGAGCTGGCATTCAGGAAGACAGAGCAAGTGGGGCTTGGACATGTAGGGATGGGGAAGGGAGAGAGTAACCCAACAGTCAGCCCTCGTGGAGCAGGGAGAGAAACTCCTGTAGGTGCAGTGTGAGGT